GACACTGTGATCGCAAGATACAGAAAGAAGTAAAAAAAAATCTAGTAACTTTTTAGGAACCTGTTAAGATGAGCTATAGATCTCCGTACCTATCGAACAGGAGCAGGCAACTTCACATTCTGAAGCCACCCGGCGGCGAGCATCCGGCGTCGATCGGGGCGAGCGTCTGCACCGGCACCAGCCCCGGCATGCAGCAGTGCGGTGGTATATCCAGAAGAAACTGTGAAAGGAGACATACAGTCGGTATATTTTAACGACACATTTTTGAAAAAAAACTACTTCCCTACCTTAATATATCCAACACAACCCAGAGGAACCCAGCGGATAAAATATTTACATGATATTTTCACGTATTTCATCATCAAAACTTTTCATAGAACAAAAGCATTGAATATCGTCAAATACGCATTCCATCATTAAAATAACACCTGCAAAGCAAAAATCTTCACTAATTACCTATTCTTTAGGGCACATCTCTCTTCGGAGATGTGCTCTCACATCTCCCTCATCTCTCACGGTACCTTATATGCCTATTTCCTCGCGACACACAATTGCGCTTATGGTCATTGATCAATAATAAATATTAATAAGGTAAGTAATGTATATGAACATACTTACTATTGGCCTCGGAATCCGAGTTTCAGTTTCTGCACACCAAGTCCATAAAATGCTGCACACGCGAGCGACGCACTTTCACCACCAAGCAACAGAATTCAACTGAAATAATGGCAGACGCGCGCGAAACGTGCGCGGCTGTGCCACATCGGCTCAACCAATCAGCGAGCTGGAAGCCTACTCACGGCTAGATTACTAACCACATACTCATGATCCTGAGCATAAATACCAAGCATCGATGAGTACTGCCTCACATCATCGCAGGAGCTATGAACGAACTAAGGCATCGTTGGTAAATACGTTAGTTTACCTGAGTATGGCATGAGTCTCATCCTGAATAAAAGGGTTAGTTTCCAAAGGGTGGTAAAATTTTTTCTCAGTGCAGTTGCACCTCCTCCTATCGACGATTTGGACGATTAGCTTCTATTCTACATAGAAACGCTAAATATGCAGGATGGCTGCCCCGTTATGCAGGGGCAGCCTATCAACTCAAGAGAGTATGTCAAATTTGATGAAGCGGCTACGTCGTCGGTAATGCTATACGTGAAAATGTATAAAAGGTGTGGCGTTGGCCGGGCCTGGTCGAGTGAGGACTTAAGACTGGAACTTTTTAGAAACATATCTGAGAATAAACGATTACGGAAGCTGCTGCAGAGCTCTCAGCTCAACCATACGTAATCACAGTATGGTGATGCATCAATGGTATCAATGGCCAATTGGTCCGCTTTAGTTCGTACTTCCATACAGTGTTGTCGGTCTCAGAAGAGAACCAGTTAAGCTTGGTAAACATTTTCTGATGTCAGCGCGCTGCGGTTCTACAGAAACTTTGACCGCTGCAGCCTGTGCCTGCCGGCCCGCTTCATAACGGTAAATGACGGGTGAAACGGTGACGTATTTCAGACAATATGAGGCATGCCCTACTGCCGGAGTTCGTCTGATGCTCGTCCAAGAAACCACTTTGATGTGGAATAGTTCCTAAGTTGATGCGACGCTAGGGTGGTTTATGATCCGAGACTATGATAAGCTCTCATTTGGGAAGGAATTGATAGGCTTATTTCAGCATAGTTGGCAGTAGCGAGAAGTAAATAATAAAAACTTGCCCTCGCCGTTGTGGTACGGAGTTTTTATAGGATGAAAAGACATTTGAATTTTGGAAAAGTTCGTTGTTCATTGGCATATGGTTACGCGTGAGTGACCAATTTAAAAGCTTGCGTACCTACCTAGACCTACCGATTCTAATTTTTGTACTGTTAGTCGTTAGAACGTTCTTCGTGTTGTTGCGATCGCTGAATATCGGCAACCTCGTAAATGCTGATTTGAAGGTCTCCTTGCATTTACAAGTTTCTTTTTACTTTAATAGACGTTAAAATTGAATTCCACGAATTATAAACTGCCTATATAGGCAGTGTATAATACAGTTGATATAATGGCCTATCTATGGGTGAATGAAATGCTTCATAAACTTTTCCTCAGTAAAATCAGACCGAAAAAAAATGCGTCACTGCATAGTGCATGTTGAATGCTATCGGCCACCATATGGTTAAAGGAAAAGGGCCACCTTCGTGAAATATGAAGATAGCGTTGTTTTTCATTTTGACATTATTATTTTTCATTTTCTTTTTAAAACTGGTGCCAGAAGTGCACAATTCGCGAAAAAGTATTTAAAACTATTTAACATATTGGTACTATGTTGATACTCTCTACGGCACCTACTGTATGATGGCATAGCGATGACGTCACACTCAAGCCAATCAGCGTTCAGAAGACAGACTCGTCGGATTGTGTCAGATAAGCTGATTGGTTAACCCATTTACGCCCTTCGTTGCGTTTTCGCAACGCAAGCAAGGGTCGACGTGATCGTAGCTTGAGAAGTGTGTAAAAGAGGCTCACCGATGAGACAACTTTCAGCGTGTGTAGCATGGTTGTGCGCATGACGCTACGCAGTTACAAGTCTGTGCAGCCGGTAAGTTACTGCCTAGAGCTCCCAGAGTGAAGTCGAAGGTTTTGTGAGCGGTGACGTCACGAAAACCAAGATAAGTAGGCTAAGTGCTTAATAATATCGTAATGAATATTGTGTAAACATATTCTGCAGAGTCCCTACAATAGCTTAGATATGCATTTTTTAAAGAAATCATGCTACAAAAAGGGTTTGTGACTATTTTCAAATATGACTACGGTCGCGTTGCGGGAACGCAACGAAGGGCACATCGGAAAGACAGCGATGTTGCGAAAACGCAACGATGGGCACATTGGCAGGGTAGCGGAAGTATGAGTATCAACAATAGACTTCACTCGTGATACGCTGTGGGTTCTCTCTTTCTCTCGCCCATCTTCCTCCCTCTCCTCCTCGATCCCCAACTCTCTCTCCCTCTCTCTCTCTCCCTCTCTCTCTCCCTCTCTTTCTTTCTCTCTCTCTCTCTCTCTCTCTCTCTCTCTCTCTCTCTCTCTCTCTCTCTCTCTCTCTCTCTCTCTCTCTCTCTCTCTCTCTCTCTCTCTCTCTCTCTCTCATTTTGTAGCCATGATGCTGTAGCGGCGGAACATCTTCAATTAAGGGGGGGGCGGGGGGGCACTGCCGACTTTTTGTCCCATTTTTTCCATTTCCATTTCCATGCAACGCCCATAGGAATAATGTTAAAATGGCAAAATCAAGGGGGGCACGGTGCCCCGGTGCCTCCCCCGCTCCGCCGCCTATGCCATGAGGGACGTGTATAGGTATGTTTAGTGCAAGGTGCGTTCGCACGTAAAATGTTGCGACACATTTCACATTTACTGGCTCAAACAGCCACTAACACTCCTTTCTTTTTCTCTCGCAGATTATCGGCCTCGGGCTGTTCGTTCACATAAGCAATGTGTTTCCATGCATCTGAAAATCGCATGGTACGAAAAGGACCCATGCATCAAACGGTCGGCGATGCTGACGGAGCTGAGAGATAATTAGGTTCTTTGGAAATTGGATCTACTATGTACATTGTGCATATATAATGAATAACGGGGATGTAGTCTGGTATCACGCGACAGATAGGCATCGCCATTCTCTGGATACAATCTGCTGACTACCAACCTTTACGTTAGAAAAGATAACTGAGGGTCGGCAAATAGTGGGATAGGCCCCCTCTGGGGGTAGCAGAGCCATTTGGCATGGGGGTAACGAGGGCGGACCTGGGAAAATAATATTTTTTAGGATTCATAACTTGCATAGATTGATAAGCTGCTTGATGTGGAGTATATGCTCGTTTTCTTACTTTGATAGGCTTTTTATCTAATCAGACCATTTTAGAGCTAGCAGGATTATTGGAATTAGGGGAGACATTTGTCTAATCGTAGACTGGAGACTGAGCCCAGCCAGTGGGCAGGCCACCCATGACCCACCCCCTTCCCCCTCCCAAGCACTCACTGCACCCGGCTACAGGCGCGCTCCTATGTGAGCTGCCCGATTGCGATATACATGTATATAGTTGCCCGCGTCCTTTGTCCCGCCCGGAACAGGGGGTTGAGGCGTGGAGGAGAAGGATTCAACTATCCTGAAGATGGAAAGGACGGATTGACGTCGAATCACCATTCTGTCCTGGCATTGTCTCGAGAAAGAGGTTACACGTGAAGGTCGCTGAGAGTGGGGCCATGAACATTTTGGATTAGGTGTTAACATGATAAACTGGGAGTCGATTTGTTGTGATGCGCTACGCCTTACGCGGGTAATTTGTGAGAGCCGGATCGGTCCTTTTTTCTTTTTGCTGAGAGTGGGTACGACTAACCTGCAATGGAATTTAACTTTACTCCTAAGAGGGTGGTTAACAATGATTGCGGATATACGCGCATACGTGAGGCACTGGTTTACTCCTAATCCTCCGTTTAATTGTATTCAGTGTGGGGTCTGATAGGTGGGGGTAATGGCTCTGTCTAGCTTCCAAAAAGAAAGCATCCCCTGGATACGTGTCGACCACAACTTTAAATGGACAACAATGGACAACGTAAATGGTTGATAATGACCGTGTTGCCATCTCCCCGTTCGCGAATCATGAAGTTATGCTTCCTCACTGAGGCTCTTAGGCGGGTTATAGAGCATGATGGATGTGGGGTCCGCATTTTCAAGCAATAGTTTTCAACAGTTGATTGATGTTTTGTCAAAACATATTAGCATATACGGCAGTTCAGTGTACTTTATGTCCGTCTGATGAGCCCGTCGTTGCGTTTTCGCAACACTGGTGGCGCCCGGTGTGCCGCATGTTTTTTACGTTTTTCTCGAAAAACTTTTGCTGCAGGCAAAAACTATTTTCGATTCCATGCAAGGCCGTGGTAGGAGCATAACATATTTTGATTTCATCGATTTTCATGATGGTCAATATTCCTGGGCATAAATGGGTTAAAGCTGAGCTGGTTGGAGCTGATTGGTAAAAAACCAAAGCCTCGCCGCGGGTGGCTGTATTGTCGGATAAGAACGCATTCCTGGGATAAGGACGCATTCCTGGCGTATTTTCTTTTAAAATTGCCGATAACTACGAATGGAGGCCGAAATCGGCCGTAAGGAGGTCGACAGATAGGTTTTCGGACACGGGCTACAAGATGGCTATCTCAGTTTCAATCCCCATGTTAAAGGTGGCCCTTTTCCTTTAACGCTGGTCGCAGATCGATTGATTCGATTTAGAATTTTAGAAGAATACCATCTTAGAAATTGATTTTGTCCGGTCACTGCCCATGTGCCTGCACCTATAGGCAAGCCTATAGGTACCGATCGAATTCCAAGAACGAATGTCAGTCTTAGCGAATGACTACAATACAGAATTCAGATGTCGAGCTAGCAGTCATGCCTGTCTGGATTTATCCAGCTCAAGCTCCAAACCATTGTTCAAGATCCAATTTATTGCAAATCGTTCGGCTGGCTGGTCACCAGCTGGTACTCGGAAGTACAAGCATCCCTCACTAGATGTCTCTGCCGCCGTCCGTGACCAAACCGTGACCGAGGCAAGACCGAGGATCCTCAGTCGATTAGTAGTAGCTGGACGGGGTTCGTCGGAGCCGAGGATCGGAGTGCTGTTTGGGACTCGGGTGTGGCGGTGGCTCTGAAGATCGTTCCTATGCTGTCTGATGAGGGCGCACGAGGTAGCGGCCACCGAGGCAGGGTTCGCAGTCGGGAAAATCGAGATAGGAACGGTAAGATGTAGGCAGCTCGGAGTTTCTGAGGCACCTTCAAATGTTTTATGTTAGCTTACATAGTGGGGTGCAGTGAAGGAGGCACATCAGATTGTGAAGAAAAAGGAAAGGGAAAGGGAAAGAACAACTTTTAAAAATCGATTACCGATTCATCCTCCATGAGCCATTTGCGTGAGTTTATTTTCTGATGTTGAAAATGTGTAATTATACGCGCAGATTAAGCCTCGTATCACCTCGTTTACTGGACGAGCAGCTGTGGCTGGAAAAGCCCTCGTGGAACGGCCTGGCTAGGTAGGCTGTACCGCATCCACTCATGCGTGGCGGCACAGCATCATATTCGTAACGCTGACGGCGCAGCAGCCACGACTATCAATCTCAGAGTCCAGCTTATGCTATGCATTACTGACTACTGACTAGTGACTACCTACCGCTGATTTGTATGCAATTATTAGTCATCATGAGATTTTGAAGCCCAGGGTGTGTCTGCTTATGTTGCGATTAATTATCTTGTTCTCGAGCTAGGTATTTGGGATTATGATTGACACTAGAAACTAGCATTGCCTAATCGATTTCCTCCCTCAGGACTCAGAGCTACATCTTATTTCAGATGTATCTGGAAAAGTAAATATTCGACACCTGGCCCACATCGAAATCGGTCCCTAAAATCCAAATTTGGAGTGATAGAAGTGGGCGCTACTGCTGTTGGACTGAGAGTCGAGGCAGGTTTGCCAACCTCCATAGACGGTCCGACGCCCTTTTGATATGACTGACCTCTTCTCCCTGTGACCTCTCCTCAGACGGCCGTCAGTCGGAGGTGACCTCCGATCCCTCTGATGTCAGCGCTCCAGGCGGGTGCCGTCACTGTGCCGGCTGCGGAGCAGTCATCACCGACCGCTTCCTGCTGCAGGCGGTCAGCAAGTACTGGCACGAGGAGTGTCTGCGCTGCGGCGCCTGCGCCTGCCGCCTGGGCGAGGTCGGGTCGTCACTCTACGAGAAGGCGGACCTCATACTCTGTCGCAGAGACTACCTCAGGTCAGTGTGTGAGTGGGGGAGGAAAGGGGCTAGTTGTGAGTGGGGAGGGGCGGGACTAGGTCAATGTGTACATCTAGGGCAGAGCATGGAGATCATGTGATATTGTTTGGAGTTTGGACTAATGGCCAGCCCATTATGAATATTAATCATGACTTTTTTGCTGTAGCCTTTTCCTCAAATTGACGTTTCATCTTGAACGAAGACTTTCATATGCTGCACGGAAACATTATTGCCATTGTTCACTGGAATGAGGCTATCGACAACTATTTCATTGGTTACGTAGACATCGAACATTCATGTCATTTTTCCAAACGACTGCACTCAATGATCACCGTTTGAAGCGCCTACTCCGAGCCTGTTCCGTCCGTCAAACGAAACGGCTTGCAACAATGGAACGCTGTTCGACGGGCCACCATCCCATCGGCAGCAAACTCGACGCCCGAAGGCTATCAATTCCAACTTGGAGCTGCGATCCGGCCGGGCAATCATGTTGGGCGCCGACAGGTCGCGTTGTTCCCGAAATTAAATTCCTTCCTATCCGCACAAAGTCATCGGAGTAAATTGGACGTGTCAAGATGAAGCGGCCTCCGCCCCGGGCCGTCGTCAAATCGCCCGACGCGACCGTGTCTACTCGTTACTAACTGTAGTAACTGTACACTCGGTGATGTTCATCCTATCGGGAGCGACGAACACCAATCAAATGAGGCCAATCGACGGGAGATGAGAGGCGGCTGAGCCGCCCAGGCATTCACATTTTAATGCGATGATTACGAGCCATCTACTCTGAAAGGGTAGCGACAGAAGAAAATGGTTGGAGTAGCTCTAATCGATTGATCGGTCGGGCTTCATTCTGAGAAGTGATTAAAGGGCCACTGATGAAGCCTGGCATAGCGAGTGCTCACATTCTGAACTGCGTGGCTGATTGGGCTTGTAACGATTTAACTTGTAATGAACCGGTAGCTATAAGCAGCGCTTATTCCCGACACATTCATCACAATTCTCAGTGGCTATACAGGTAGTCGTTCCCAATCGTACTTGGACACGAATGTGTGAAGTTACGTCACTGCAGGGCTCTATACATAGAGGAAGTCATTGGTACCAGTGGTACCACCCATTTACATAGCTGTTATCGTAGCCTTCTCATCCTACAATCGACCTTCTTCCCCATTCGTCCGTGCGCCTGCTCACTGCTCAGCTACCCCTTATAAGGGGTGTATACAGTCAGACCCGTCTCTAGCGACGAAAATAACCTCAGTCAGACTCGTCTGCAGCGTACAGTCTGTATACAGTCAACCAGTGTCGACACCAGCTCTGGATCCGGCCCCTCCCGTGCCACGGGACCATGCCGGGCCCCTCGTCCCACCACCACCACTGACCCTCGGTCCGAACAGGGACTAATTGGACCACGGGCCACCGCTGTCCCACTGTGTACCGATCCGATACAGACGCAGTAAGCCCTCGTTAGTCGCGGAGCTCGGCCAGGAAACGATCGCCCTCTGGTCCACCTCACGAGCATGAAATCAGCGGCCGGACGTGCTAGGGCACAGCACCGACCGTGACAGGGGCAGGGGACATGGAAATAAGGAAGGGGCTTGAAGGGACAGAATAGAGGTCTGCGACAGGGCGCCGGACGGGACAGGGAGCAGTGAGAGTAAAATAACATACAGGACAAACTGCAGAAGGCGGGATAGAGCAGGTTAGGGGCAGAGTGGAGTAGGAAAGACCGACACTTGACAGGACAGGGGTACCGGAACGGGGAGCAGGGATGCCGGATGTGCCTCGGACAAGAAAGATTTACGAGTTCCGCGATAGCAGCCCATTCTACATCAAACTGACTCAAATATTTCCGCTCTGTTTTGCCAGGCTGTTTGGCAGCAGCGGCCACTGCACTGCCTGCAGTAAGCCGATCCCAGCCTTCGAGATGGTGATGCGGGCCCGAGAGAACGTCTACCACCTCGAGTGTTTCGCCTGTCGTCGCTGCAACCAACGGTGATTGATCTGCATTGGCTAGCGATTTGACGGGAAGAATGCGTATGCCATGCATAGGTAATATGGCCTTTCGGAAGTCGTAATATCATATTTGTTTTTAGTCTCAGCCTGCTCTTTTATGAATATTATCGGTAGCCAAAATAAATTATATCGCTTACTTATGTACGGCCAAGGCCTTATATGTATGTACGGCTATTGATTTTCGCCATTGATTATATCGACCTCATTAGGGTGAGATATGGAATGCATATTTACATATATTCACAGGTCATTCCAATCTAGACCGTCAGATAAACATTCAAATGCACTTATCGATATGTTTCGCAGGTTTTGCGTGGGCGACCGCTACTACCTTCACGATGGTCAGGTACTCTGTGAACTGGATTACGAGGAGCGGCGGAACCTACCGTTGGTAGCGCAACTTCCCGCCATTAGTTCCAAACGGTGAGCTTGCAGGGGGCGGGTAATAGCTTTGGTTGGAGGAAGTTATACGAATATGTTTGAATCGGACCAATCGTTTATGATTCAAGCAATAAAAGTTTTCGTCTCTCGTAACCAAAGCATCGTATTTTTAGGCATATTTGTTTAGTCATATTATTCATGTTATTTTTGTTTAGTCATATTAGTGCCAGTAGGTATCATTACTGGTTCATACCAAAATTTGAAGAATTAATAGGTATGTGAATGTACCTATTCGAAACGAAAAACGGAAATGGTTGTGAATTGTGATAGAACTACAGGGTGTTTCACTAAAAGTGTCAAAAAGTAAATGCTTATTAAAGATATATAAAATATGCAAATCACGTGATTGCGCATGTGGCTTTGTTGCAAATGTTTGGACATTTATGCTTTGTCCATTTAAGATGTATTTTACACCCATACGGAGCGAGGGCAGGAGGCCAAAGTTACTAGTCGTTTTTTCCTTATACAGACCAAGAACAGGTTATTTACACCCCAACAGGAGGGGTGAATTACACTTACATTTGGTGCCATCAGAAACTTTGAAACGGTATGCCGACTTTTCAGGAAACGTTTTACTCTCTCACCTCGCTACGTTCCAGATTATAAAAGTTTAAAAGAGCTTCTTAAGAGGTTTAAAAGGGCTCCTTCGATGCCAGTTCCAGTCCCAAAAAAGGCATGGGTCGCCCCTCACATCTCGGCGGAAACCGTTGAAAAGGTCAGGGTCTTTTTGAGGGCCTTTGAAGATAACAAGAAGCTAATTTCAACATCAGAAATAGCCAAGGCCTTACAAGCTATCAAAAACAACCACTGTGACGGCTGTAGCCACCAGGAACTGGCTGGACCAGAAGTTCCTGGGCAAAATAATCAGCTGCCTCACCGCCCGCCACCATGGCCAGCGCGAAGCCCCGAACTGTCACCGCTAGACTTCTGGTTTTGGTCAGTGACTCAGTAGCTCTCGCAGAGCTGAGGAAGACTCAAGTCGCATCACTTCGGGAGCTGAAGAGCACAATTCAAGGCTTTGCCGACAGTCTGGACGCTGAATATGAAAACGGGCTGTGAGCCACCTCCGGACACGTGCGGAAACGGTGCATCAAAAGAAGGGGCGGATATGTGGAATAGGTTTGAGTGACGGTGATTACGGAGCGAGCGAAGCGAGCGTAGTCTTTCCTTAGATTAACGGAAATTTCTGAGTATGAGCGGCCGGCCGTGGTCACGCTTCTGCGAGGCTCATATCTCAGCAACCACTTGACCGATTTACACGCGGTAATTTTTGTAGGGTAGCTTCATTCCTTCTACCAAGTATTGGACTATTCCCGATGCATGTGGGTGACCCCTTATGCACGTGCCACGTGCAAAACGAAGAGGTGTCCGTTTTGTAATTGTTGCAATATCTCGGTAACTACTTGGCCGATTGCGCTGAAAGTTGGCATGTAGGTAGGCACCCACTAGGCACTGCATATCCATGTGCCAGAGTTGGGGTGCTGCTGCACGTGCGCACGTGCAGGGGTCGTTTCCAGATCTCGAGAACGGCTCGACCGATTGCGCTGAAATTTAGTACACAGTTAGGGACCGGTTAGTAGGGTGCCGTGCACAAGTTAGTTGGGACCCATTTTGCACGTGCGCACGTGCAGGGTGCCGCTTCCAGATCTCGAGAACGGCTGGGCCGATTGTGCTCAAATTTGGCACATCGCTAGAGACCGGTTAGTAGAGTGCCGTGCACAAGTCAGCTGGAGGTACCCCGTCGAAATTTCGCACGTGCAAGGCCCACCCTCTCGCTCGCTCCGTTAGTCGCCCCAAAAGGCGTTATACTGGTATCGCTGTTATATTTTCAAATGTCCAACAATTGTCAATTGCGGATGAAATGATATGCACATTTCCAGTTAGAAAACATTGTTCTTATGTGCATTATGACCTTATACTTTTTGACACTTTTTGTGAAACACCCTGCACCCTGAAACACCCTGTAGAAGGTACAAAAAAAGTGTCTTCGAGTATAGCCTGTCCTGTGTCTCATCGACGCTTCATCTCCTCAATCTCCACGCTCAATGTCCGTCACCATATGACTATACCCACTTTTTGCCGCAGGGGAGGAGCGTCAGAACCGGACGGCACGAGACATAGTCAGACCGCACCATCCAACGGCACCAGTCACCAACACCCCTGCTCGGTCCGCTGAGACTGAAACGCCTTGACTAATGACTGAAACGACCGACTGGGTCTAGCGGTGTCACCATGACGGAGCACTGGACGATGTACACCATGGACTCGCGTTTTTCATAGTGGCAGACGACCCTGCGCTTGTCATTTACGTCATTACCTGTTGAACTATGTGGTTTGGAAGACGAATAGGTAGAAGTCTCGGTCTTCTTGTGTAGGTGAAATTATTAGAAACGTTTGCTTTTTATAACGAAAACGGACGTTTTAAAGCTTAAGTATTGTGCAATGTGCACCAACTTTAATATAATTGACCGATGGCGATATGCATATTGCATATTTTGTATAGAACTATGACCACTTTGATGCTATCGATCTTTCTTATATAACATCGCACATTGTCACGTCAGGTAAAGGCCAGTGCAAATGAGCCCGAAATTCGAAAATGCATACCTAATGCATTGCATATGCAATGCATCAATGCGGACACATATGTGTCCGCAGATTGATAAGTTCTGGTTTAGACATGACATCCCTAGTCAATTATATTCAGCGCTTGTTTTTGCTAATTTTTATCGCTTCATGAGCATGCGCTGCGGTGTGCGATAATTACAATAAACCGAGTGTGCTCGTGCTCTTTGGAAAAAAAGCTTATTACTATAATTTTATTTTCATCTGTAGGTACTGACTTATTTGCGCCGTTCATATGGCTGGGTAGTGGGTAATGGACCGATGATCGCATCACGACAACGTTCGTATGTCTAATCCTGTAGGTATCGTTGTATAGGTACTATACTATAAAGTTCAGGTCTCGCGGGTTTAAGCGGTAGGTAAGTACACTACATTTTCTAGGTGCAAAACCTAAGGTAGGTTTTGCACCTAGAAAATGTAGTGTACTTCAGGCCATATCTTCGTCGTCTGAAGCTTTTAAGTGTTGAAGATGCGATCGACTTGTTGGTTCACAAGCCGGCCATGATCGTGTAAAATGGCTTCATCGTAGATTGATTAGTTTCTGAGATATAACCGGAAATGTAAAAGTGCAAAACCTACCGCTTAATCTCGTAAGAGCCGTACGTTCAACTGCGGCCGTCAAAAGAGAGCTTCGCGGACAAAAAGAACACAGGGTCAGAAAATGGAATAGGCTATAGGTAGGGGTGGGTGGGTATACATAGGTACGTATTACGTAGGTACCTTAAGTGTTGTACGTACAACACTAGTTGAGGGAAATACGAAGTAGGATACAATATATTTGAGTGTTGTGCATATTTAAGTACAACACTCACCGAATTCACGCCAGCAAATAGTCATATGTGTAAATAAAAGTGCACATCGCAAATGTTCATAGGACTATATACCTAAGTAGGTACCTACCACTGGCAGATCCAGAAAGACGGTCTTGGACGCAGGCGCTGCGGGGCTGGGGAGTAGGCCTTTAGGACTAAAGTACGTATCGCTAAAGTACGTAGGACAAAAGTACGTATGCAAATGTTCGTACGCAAATATACGTAGGCGATAAAGTTCGTATGCCAAAAGTACGTACGCAAATGTTCGTACGCAAAAGTACGTATGCAAAAGTACGTAGTGCATAAAATACGTATGTCAAAAGTACGTACGCAAATGTTCGTACGCAAAAGTACGTATGAAAAAGTACGTAGTGCATAAAGTACGTATGTCAAAAGTACGTACGCAAATGTTCGTACGCAAAAGTACGCATGCAAAAGTACGTAGTGTAAAATGTACGCATGACAAAAGTACGTACGCAAATGTTCGTACGCAAAAGTTCGTATGCAAAAGTACGTAGTGTATAAAGTACGTATGCCAAAAGTACGTACGCAAATGTTCGTACGCAAAAGTACGTATGCAAAAGTACGTAGTGTATAAAGTACGTATACCAAAAGTACGTGCGCAAATGTTCGTACGCAAAAGTTCGTATGCAAAAGTACGTAGTGTAAAAAGTACGTTGCCAAAAGTACGTACGGTTCGTATGCCAAAGTACGTAGTGTATAAAGTACGTATGCTAGAAGTAGGGTATAGCCAGTGTAAGTTGAGCCACTTTTTCTTGCTGCTCTGTTGCCATACTATAAGGGAACTCATGATAAATTCATATACCAAATAATATAGCTTTGTCCATTTCGCCCATTTACTCATCGAGAAATTTTGCTATGCCTTGTAACAAATGCTCATTAAATAAAGAATAAGAAAGGTATTACACATTGATCAACTTAACCCAAGGGCGGGGTACGTACTTAGTACCCTACGTACATTTGCTATACGTACTTTTGTCCGTGACGTACTTTTGTCCACACGTAGGGTAGACCGGGGCAAGTCGCCCCGCCGAGGTAAAACGCCTCACCGATGTTTCTCGGAACTGGCAGGGTTCTGGGAAAAAATCCTCCCTTCTGGTAATTCCAACCACCGCAGCCCGGGGAGGGGCGTTTTTCGCCCCCCCCCCCCTGTCTAACTCCGTACATAAGAGAGCTACGCAAACAAAGGCGATACCAAACGGTTGGGGCAAAATGCCCCATTTGCAGTTGCTTCACAAAGCACTTCCTAGCTGGGAGTCCGATCATAAGTGAATGGATTTGAGGGATGGAATTTAAAGTAAAATGTCCAAAGAACACATTGAGCACAAATTTGGCCATCCAGGTGATGTGAGATAAAAGTAGGTACCTATGTAGCAAAATAAATTATCTGGGGCGTCTTGCCCAAGGCTACCCTACTTTAGGTATACCCTACGTACATTTGCTACACGTAGGCTTTTGTACGTGACGTACTTTTGTCCATACGTACTTTATACCCTACGTACTTCTGCGATACGTACATTTGTCCGTGACGTACTTTTGTCCATACGTACTTTTTACCCTACGTACATTAGCTATACGTACTTTTGTCCGTGACGTACTTTTGTCCATACGTACTTTATACCCTACGTACTTCTGCGATACGTACTTTTGTCCCTGACGTTCTTTTGTCCATACGTACTTTATACAGTACGTACTTCTGCGATACGTACTTTTGTCCCTGACCTACTTTTGTCCATACGTACTTTATACTGTACGTACTTCTGCGATACGTACTTTTGTCCCTGACGTTCTTTTGTCCATACGTACTTTATACAGTACGTACTTCTGCGATACGTACTTTTGTCCCTGACCTACTTTTGTCCATACGTACTTTATACTGTACGTACTTCTGCGATACGTACTTTTGTCCTTGACGTACTTTTGTCCATACGTACTTTATATTGTACGTACTTCTGCGATACGTACTTTTGTCCCTGACGTACTTTTGTCCATACGTACTTTATACTGTACGTACTTCTGCGATACGTTCTTTAATCCTACGTACTTTTGCTTACGTACTTTTGTCCTACGTACTTTAGCGATACGTACTTTTGTCCGTAACCCGGGGAGTAGGTACCTACCCGATCTACCCCCAAAAAGTTTCTGTAATTTCCCAAATCTCGCCGGATTTCGATTCCTTACGCACTGATGAGCAGTTTAAAACAATCTTTTCCTATATAGTAGAAGTTGTTTTATTTTATTTTATTCTAGAAAAAAACGCAAGACTGTCCATTTTGGGCGCTGCGGGGGAGGGGGGGACTTGCTTCAAATCTTCCCCAAAATCAAGTGTTTTTATATACCTTGCCCGAAATGCTCCCTGGATCCGCCAGTGTACTGTACATACCCACGTTGCATTATGCACTATGTATGTATGTATATGCAGCGATGCGATTGCGAACATGTCCTCAAATAATGTAATAACATTTTGCTCATAGATGGCAGCACCATATCAATCCCAGATGACGCCACCAGAGCCTTTGAGGAGGAATGCCTGCCTGCCCTCAACAGTCAACTCACAGGAGTAAAACAGGCCTGAGCCTGCTGAAAAACCCGAATGTATTTGGAAGTAAGATATGATGGTATACAAGCATCGAAGCCTGCTGAAATTCATAGTCAGCAAAACATTCTGATTGTTTTTGCTTATTTATATACATTGTGGATTCTTCTAGCATTAGGCGATCAGCATGAAATTATGGTTTTTATTTTTCACTTCGTTTTGACTCTTGAGAGCTGCTTTATGAACCACAAAACTGCTGTAGCTGCTTTTTGTAACTGTTTTGTAATTTCCTCTACCCGTAACACTGTTTTTGTTTTGATTTTTGGATGTAACTTCCACTATTTCGCATTTATTTGAAAGATCTTATTTTTGCAGTAGTTTTGTTGTAACTGCATCAAATATGTCTGCTGCGTCAGTATTGTAATTATTATTTATATACACTGTATATAGCTATATACACACCCCGCCATTGTTGTGTAAACAATTTAAAAAAACTTGAAAAGGTGTGTATTTTGTGAGATTTTCGTGCCGACCATATGAAGAAAAATGTCTTTTTTAGGGAAGAATATTTGAAAGTGTTTCAATGACTAAGTGATCTGATTGAATTGAATTTGACCAGTCTCAGTGATTCTGGTGATTCAGATCAAGATTGTCAAAATGGGTTGAATGTTTGCCATTTTCTTATCATTTCATTTTTTCAGTTGTGGTGGTTGTAAGATAAATTATAAAAGGAAATAGGGTACATATTTGCATAAGGTCTGATTGATTGTTCAAGCATAAATTTTACATGTTCTTACATTATTTGAAGTCCTGAATCTAGATATCATACTTACGTGCGGCTGAAAAATGAAAAACACAAAAATAACAACCTATTGCACCCCTTCATAACACGATACGTACCCACGCGCACGTACCGACGATGCGAATGAATGGGACGAGAGAAAAACTCTGCCGTTTCAGTGGTACCATATGACGTTTTTTGCTGCCATTTTCGGGGAAATGTTGGGAACCGGGGTTTATGGGTGGGGAGGGAATCAAATAAGATATTCAATGAAAGTGACAGTGTTACTCAAAGTCAAAAAGCCTGTCATGCAAATTCAGGTGAAGCATTTCCTTCAACTTTGCCAGGTTTGAGGCAGAGACTTTGTTCCATATCAAGCTTGCAGTCTGAGTTTCTTCGGCAGATCGCTCCTCCCCTCAAGAATTTGCGTCTTAAAATGTAAGAGCTGTATACACAGAAATCACGCACTGCTTTCAGCAGGGCACTTCGGCTGCAAGCATGAAACGGAACAGAGTATAGGTACCTCAACAGAAAGACTGACTGTTCCAAGCAGTCTTTCTGTTCCAACTGTTCCAATCAGTCATGCATTGTACAGTGAAGAAGCACTTCCTGATGTCAGTTCCATTCAATAAAGGGAATATTTTGTGCTTAAACTTATGATTTCATAGACTTTAAATTTCATTGCTGCAAAGAAGATTCAGTTAACTGACAAATGTTAACACCTTTCATTAATGTTAACATTTTTGTAACTGACTACCAGCTGATGTGAAGTATTACTCAACTTGTCAATGTAACAAGAAAACTTGCTTAGGTTAGCTGAATTCATTAAAAAGAGCTAAGTCAGAGACTACTGAGACAATATTTAAATGGACTGGAATAAATAGGCATATTGAAGGATTTGTACTTAATCAGTACCTAATGTATGAAAACATGATTACCTGCAAATGCATCACTAGGATCAGGTGGCAGGCATCCCTTGGATATTTGTTTTGAAATTGCGTCCATATCCAGTATCCATCCATTCATCACTGTTAATGATATGCCTACAATGCGATTGTAACATGCTGCAACACTGACTGAAACACTCGTGAGTTGCATAGTTATCCAAGAGAAGAGGCCATGAGAGGGTCAGCATTGATTCTAAAAAATGATTGATAGATGTGGTCTGCACTCTGCAGCACAGCAATCACTGCCGAGTGAACCTTTCATTCACTATGGGGTAAGAATGGCTCTGCTTATTTTGCTGGCCTGACTGACTTTGAGATCTTCTGAATTTTGCATATTACCATTTTATTCCAGTTGCAAAATGGCGTGTCCATCAGGTTCTGCCAACTGCAAGCAGAGGAGCTCTCTAGAACAGTTGATAGAGGAGATCAACTTTCAGAGGGCTAAGGAGATGAGACAGCTACTAAAAGACGGTAAGTCTGATGTGAAGGGCATAGCATATGCCAGGCATATCGCATGTGACTATTGTTCAATCATCAGGACATTGAATCTTAATATTTCTCATATTGATGTTTAGACACAATATGGGTTGTGTCATGTGATGTCACAATCTAAGTCTTTACAATGCTGGGTATGAATAGGGTTTTATAATGTAGAGTGGCATGGGACAAATGCCATCATGCAAGTATTTGAAATTCATTGTGCATTGTGCAAATGATGGTTTATAGGAGGAATCGGTTTGGTTTGTGTTAAAGCCTAGTTTGGTGTAGTTTGATGAAAAGATTACAATCAGTCATAGAGGTCTGTTACAAGTGCACTGTAGGGTTCATTCAGCTCAGCACAGGCTGCAGTGTCATCCAGACTGGGCTGCTTTTGCGTGGTGTGGTGACCCATTCCAAACTTGTGACTAGACAGAAAAATAGGTACTGGCTGTGGTGATTTTTTTCTTTAGCTGAAAGTCGCTTACGAGTTTCGCTAGCGACATGAAAAAGGAATCGCATATTGCAGAAGATTTTCTTATAAATATACATGGTTGAAACGTTATTAGTTGATGGCTGAAACAGGTATTTTCGGCAGTCAGGTAATGGCTTGCTAGATTGCGCTCGTGCGCTCGATGCGGGCGAGAGGTAATTATTGGAGCATGGCGTGCTCTCACATACGTCGATTTCCTGACTGCCAAAAGTGTCTGTTTGAGCCTTGACCTTCCATTTATCATCCACGTGCTCTGACCAGCGATCTGTCTTCCCAGACAGCGGGTTTGTGATGCTCAACGGCTCCACCTACTGGACGGACCTGTTTACGCGCCACTTCCTAATGGAGGAGGATCGCACGGCGCAGGAGTCGGACGATCTGCTCTTCTTTATACGAAAACGACATCTCAAGGAAGCCAAAAAACAGAGCCCCAAGTATGAGGTGAGTTTTTTATCAGCTACGAGCAGAGCACTTCGTGAAGCGAAGTTGGCTAACTGCCAAGAAGACCGAAGTTGGCCAAGGAACAATATGCTTTGATTTTTTTTTCATTTGTGAACAAACATGTTTTTATGTAAAAAGGTTTATTTATCATGTGCTAGGTAACTGCTTGCTTCGTACGCTAGCTCGGTACGTTTTGTCATTGACGATGTTTTCGGTTAGACTTCATCCAAAATCGCCAACACGAAGTCTACATCGCTTGTCAAACAAGCCTGTCATGTTCTACAGGTCTCAGATTAGCTTACATTTTCCCTCCCTGCGCTGTTTTCAGACCCTGCTGGAGGTACTGCGGCGTGACAGCAAGAAGCTGCCCATCGGCGACCCGGAGATCGACTGGGAGGAAACCATCTACGCCAACCTCATCATCCACCGGTTCGACTACTACGTAACCCTGGCCGTGTGCACCCGCACCAGTCCTAAAGAGCTGCAGGTGCTCCGGCGACACACGGAGGTAGGCGGGGCGGGGCGCTGCTTTGGCGACACACGAGGGTAGGCTGGGCGGACTGTGGAGACAGAGGGGCGCTGGATAGGGGGAATAGATATGCAGTGCTGGTTGGGGGAAGGCGATAAGTGCTGTTGCGATGAGTGCTGATGCAGAAAATGGGTGGGTGCTATGGTGAAATACATACATGCTTTAAGTGCGTACTTTAAGTGCGTATATGATAATATTGATGGAGCTACGCACTGCGTAGCTCCATCAATATTATCATTAAGAAGGATGGATATGATTATCTGTTAAGGTATATCTTTAACTCTTTTTCCAGCAACGGATTGCGCGTGTATCAGTACCGGCTGATTTTGCGTTTGTCGAGTCGTACCATTGATTATGATTATGTGCTCTGTCCCCAGCGCGTGTGGGCGTCGCCGAGCCGGCGACTGATGAGCGACAAAGGCACCTCGGAGGAGATCACCTACCCCAACATCTGCTTCATGCTCGACAACTTCGACGAGGTCAGTTCGCGTAAATGATAACGTCACTTGTGATACAAGGTCGAAAATAATTTTGTTAGTTTCTCCGCGACATAATTTAGTGTGTCTTTCCATATGACAGTTGTTTTTTCCTCCTTGCCACATCGTGCTCACCGGTTATTTGCATTGCCTTCCTCGCTGATTCGTTTGTATCATGTATTTAGACTTTCGTTAGCCTTCGTTGTCATCGACCTAAGGCTCAGCTGCAGCTTATGAGCACTCATAAATCTTAAAACTTAGGTAGCCGCTAAGTTCGCTAGTCTTTTTGAATTCCTCGAACGCTCGCCCGTCTCTCACAATCCCAACTGTTTTCCATTGACATTTGCACTCCTCTGACCCCTCCCCCTCTCCCCGGTCCCACCCGGCAGGCTTTCACCGACATTGTGGTCCGAGATGGAGAGATGGTCTCGGTCGAGCTGGTGGCTCGAGACCGCACGGCCGCTCTGCAGTGTGTCATCTTCCTCGGTTCGGTCCGTTACGACGCCCTGCGCAGAGTCTACGACGCTAGGGTAGGTGTAGAGAGAGTGGTGTCAGGCTCTAAGCAAAGTGTACGCTACCAGGGTGGCTGCAAGCAGTCTGACACGGACTTCAGGGCTGGGATGACTGATGTGTGGAGGTGTTTTGTTTTGTGTCATGGTCAATGATCATGTGGTGGTCGGGGGATTACTGCATATTGTGCAGAAAGCTTAGATGGGCGGTGCGTGCTGTGTAACGACCACGCCTGGCTCATGGCTGACTGTAGAGGGCGGCACAAGGCACAACGCCACCATGCAGATGGTCTCATTTCACATGGCTGCTGTCGTAAGACTCTGAGGCATGCATTTTAACGAATAAGTACGCCATTTTAGCTCTCGCTCCGTTCTCACTTACCTGACTGGCCATCTTTCGTCTGTTGAGCGTCTTCAATAACCACGGTGTCTAACACGCAGCACAAGTTCCGGCTATTTTCTACACTCTGTGTGCATTCAGGCGCTGACTGACGGTGTCGTCGCCGTTGCAGACGAGCCTGACGACCAGGATGGCGCAGAGGATGACGTTCGGTCTGTACTCGGGCGCCGACGCGCAGCGGATGGAGTTTGTCCGAGTCCGCGGACCGATGGGCAAGGGTCACGCAGAGCTGGCCGTCACCAAACCGGCCGGTGAGCTGAGCAGGAGGGTGGGAGAATCGGGGTGAGAATTGGGGAGGGATGACGGGGGCTGCTGTGATATTATTTATCGAGACCATCATCGCAGATGGTTTTGGTATGACGTACACGTAGGAGGATCAGAAGTCAGAACTGCAATGAAATCGTGTTTTTAACGAGGGCCATAATTACATGTTATGCACATTTTATAGAAAAGCTGTGTGGGAGCCTCGATTGACGATTCATGACAGTTTTTTTTTTTTGCCAAGGTAATCTATTTCACCTTTGACGAACTGTAATGTGAGCAATGAGTATGTTGAATACCAATATTGTTTTTGTCGTGTCATTCCATTACTCAGAATACCCCATTATAAAAACGATGATAGCTGTAAACAAATGCGGTGACTGGCCGATCACCATGGCCACAGCTTCCGGCTATGTGCTATGACGAACCATTGCAACATCCGGTTTAATGAGTGCGCATAAACCCGCCCATTTTTCCTCATGCCGAATTCCTGTCAGACGTACCATTTGCTATCATTCGCGATCTCTGTCATGGCAATTTTCGCTGTGAATGCCATGTCGTGCAATATAATCCGATTCTGATTTAGAAAAGACAGTTTTCTGTCCGTCGGGTGGGCGCCGATCACCACCGCTCAGTCCGGGTGCTCTAAAACCCGAAATATTCATCATCAACGAAATTTGCCGTCACCCATTGATAGGTGACCAGGAGTTGCTCCATCCAGAGTTCCCGCCGGCCAATGGCACTATCAGGTGAACATATGAGAATAAATATTTAATTTTGCAGCATTCTAATGTACCAGAAATATTGATTACTGAAAAATTAACAATAGGGAGCAAACATGATTGCATGATATGAGGATGCAGAATGTAATTCTAGGTCTCGTCTTATCCATTGATAGTGGGTCTACATCTAAGTACTCGAGGTCTGCTCCCGCTATTCTAGTGCTTTCACGCCTCTCTTTGTGTCCCAGATGTGGAGTGTCTGTCTCCCACGGCCAGTGAGCCCGGCTGCTCGCTTACTGACCAGCTGGGCGGCGCAGAAGCTCGAGAGTACTATCAACACGCTCAGGTGAGTTGATGGGGAACGGGTGGGCGCCGCAAAATCTAGGAGTCGGCTATGATAGGGTACGTCATGTTTGAATGACTGGGCGGTTAACTGGCATCTGACAAATTCCTACCATTTAGTTCTGGAGAGTGTTATGAACTTGTTAGCAGTACGTGACTCTTCTTCATCGCTGCGATCGCTCAGTCGTTTTAATTCTTTGAAGGGTCGTAGGCATAGGTACTTTCCCAATGTCGTCTTTTCTTATCTCCCCTCTTCTCTTTTCCTTTCTTCTCTCTTCCTCTCCTCTCCTTTCCTCTCCTCTCGTCTCGTCTCGTCTCGTCTCCTCTCCTCTCATCTCGTCTCGTCTCGTCTCGTCTCGTCTCGTCTCGTCTCGTCTCGTCTAGTCTAGTCTCGTCTCGTCGTCTCGTCTCGTCTCGTCTCGTCTCCTCTCGTCTCCTCTCCTCTCCTCTCCTCTCCTCTCCTCTCCTCTCCTCTCCTCTCCTCTCCTCTCCTCTCCTCTCCTCTCCTCTCCTCTCCTCTCCTCTCCTCCCACCCCTCTTCCGCACCCTGTGCACTGTGCAGTTCGCAGTTTGCAACCCCGGGCTGCATCCGCAGCATTGCCACGCCGTCATTACACGGCCCGCTGGGCGGCTGGCGGGTGGCTCACGGCCGAAATGGTCCGGATGGGAATCCCGCCATGACCGGCGCGGCCGGCCGGCGGCGCCCGACTCGCCGCGCGGGACGGCCGGCCGTCAGCGTGCCCGGGACGGACAGCCCGGTGGTGGGGTTCGGGGGAAGGCGTGGGCGCGGCGCGGCGGTGATGAGAGATGCGCTGTTACACGTATGAGGCTCATCCGGTCTTTGGGGAATGCTTTGGTTACCATGACAAAGACTTTGTTGAATTTCAGCCGAAGACTGTTGTCTAACCAGCTTTTATTTTGAATGTTGATTCATTCATTTTGTCAAATGGTTTCGTAGCATTGTTATGCGTTGGAAGGGCGGTGAATACTTTAGTGTCTGTTACTGCTATATAACTCTAATGGGTCATTCTCAAGCTTGCAGATTGCCAAAATTTCTATTTGAGGTGTTAAATGCATATTGCATAGGTACTCAACTCAACCTGAAATCTGAATGCTGCATATCTGACGCTTTGTCATCCTTTTCAGCGTCGTGCCAGTGATCCGAGCGGCAACTTCCACCACCTGATGAAGGCCAATCTCCGAATGAAGTCCCCCTGTGCGGGCCCCGGCGGCTGCTCCGTGGAGCTGGGACCTGAGCTGGCAGAAGACTCGGTCACGGAGATTGAGGCCGGCGACCCACGAGCTGGTGAGTCCATGATAGGCAAGATTATTTTACTAAGTACTACTTCATAAGTGCACGCTGGCTCCTCTGACGTAAGTTTCCGGACTAGCGTGTGTAGTGGTGCATTGTTTTGGCATATTGCTCCGTTTATTGGTGCACTAAAGGAGTCTGCTGTACCACTGGGACTCTTGTGGCCCATTGAGTCGCAAGTGTGACATTGAACCTGGCTTGAAATTGATTGAACTTGGCGTTACTCGTTAAATTTAAAGCTTTGCCATGCCTTGCTGGAGTATTTGAACTTCAATAGAGAGTGACCACGCTCAACTTTATTTAAACAATTTTGGCCGCAGTTTTTTTTTTTTACAATTAACGCCAGTACAGTATTATTCTCGTGTATTTTGAGTGAAATGTAAATTTCTCGCAGCATTGTTCTATTCATGTGTGATAGAGTTGCCTTGTGTATGCCTGAGGCGCATATGGACCGCTCGCTTAGCTGTTTTGTATGTCTGTTTCATAGGCATGAAACTGTCAGTGGCGAAGAGCATAGACTCCATCAGTCAGAAGGTGGCTGCTGCCGGCGCAAACCAGCTACGTGTAACGTCTTCTACCAAACAGACTTCCGACCGTAGCGCCGACGAAGAGGACGACTCAAATAGAACGCTCACGGCCACCTCTAGCTCCGGAAACACACCGCTGAGCCCAGAGACTGGCGAGCGGCTTACATTGGAGCATGGCACGAAATCGAACGACGCAGTGTCTCCCAGTCCCACAGAAGGCGAGGAAGCCCGGGCAGATGTGACGGTGGATGTGGCGAAAGACCGTGCTGAAGCGTCTGCTACTTACAAAGATGTTGGACGGACTTCCGCTCCCGAGGCGGACACAGAGATGGGGACACGAGAGAGTACCGAGGAGGATACGACTCGTGAGCTGGAGCGGATTCGCCGGGGCTGTGATACCGGTGGAAACACGGACAGTGCTAGAAATGCTCGGACTAAGGAGGACATAAGTTCAGGCACTGACATCACTGTTGAAACTAGTGTAGAACCGAGCAGCGGGAGTGCAGTGAATGTGAACGCATCTGCTGATGCGGCTACTGTCACGTGTAAAACTTCGGACACCACCATCACAGACACTGCTGCTTCCTCCACTGCTTCTACGGCTGCCGCTACCACAGTCTCCAGCTCTCCCGCTTGTAGCGTTACTGCCTCCGTCACCGCCTCCAGCCCTACCGTCACCGTCGCGCCGAGCGTCACCGTCGCCCCCTCCGTCACCATGCCGGCCGCATCGGCACGGGCCGGCTTCGTGAGACGATCATCCTGCTGTGACTCTGCTCGGAGTCGGCCCTCGGCGAGACACCCCATCGTCACCCCGGGCATGCTGTACCGTCGCGCCTGTGGTCAGGACGGCGCGGCGTCGGCGGCAGCAGCGGGGCGATGTCAGTGTGCACGGACACCGGACGGCACCGTGGTCCACTACCGGTGTCACGTGCAGCAGGCCTTCCTCAGGCAGAGAGGTGAGTCAGAGGACCCCTGAGGGAGGGGGGGGGGGGCGGGAGGAAAGGGTGGAGAGACGGGTGAGTCAGGGATGGGGAAATGGAGAAGAGCGGAAGGGAGGGCGGAAACATGGATTGTTGGCGATGTGATTAGGCCGGCGCGGCGACGTCCCATCGACTGCCGGCCGGCCAGCCAGCCTCTCCGTTGCCCACTCACTCACTACAACAAAACGTGCACAATTTTTAGTCACTTAAGACGACTTTCAGAACCAGCACAACAAATTATCCCTTCATCTACGACAAAAGCATGAGAGAAGAGACGTTACCACTCATGTGATCTATGTTTCATTGTCAACTATTCCTGACTATTCCTTTCTGTAGATATATAAACACTGCGTAGAACGAATCATTCGCATCGTTTTTGTCACGACAATTCTTCGTCTTACACTGCGTGCTCTATAATGGCTAAAAATTGAGTTTGAAAGTTTTTCGTCATACAATTTGAGCAGTTTTTTAATAGCTACCAGATGGCCCGTTTCATGGCTATCATATTCCACTGGGCATGCAGGGGTGAAAACGACCTTCAAAACGGTGGGTGAAGGTGACGGGCCCGTTCCGACGGGAGACGGGCCCAGTGGGAACCGGGCTTTATTCGACTATCTTAACTGCGAATATGACAAATTTTAGACTGCTGTTTAGAAATGTAGACAAATTTTAGAAATAAATGTCGGACGAGGCCGGGGCTGCGCTTTCCAAAAATTTTCGGCGCACGCCTGCGCCCATACCGGACATTGGTTTTCGTAAAAAAGTATGCATAACCTAAAACCATGCACCTCGATCATGGATCATAGGAATTAGGAACCCTGTGACCTTCTGTATCATGCAGAAGCCGGCTGGCTCAGGGGACCGGTTTTCCGTTGTTTATTCACCTCTGGCACGTCTCCCCTGCACTGGGGACGGCGTGTCCTTGGGCTGTGCCGACTCACGGTGCACTAGTTTGGCGGGGCTGGCGGCCCGGCACTCGTAATCACCGGCATTTACACCGCACCACCGCGGAACGACGGCCGACGGGCATTGTGTGCGAGCCGTAGACAAAGCAGCTGGGTCGGATGGACGGAACGGCCGTAGGCAATGCTGTGGGGTATACGTGCTGTTGGCTGAAAGCTGTATGGTTGATTCTTCAGAAGATTGAACTTGTTTCCTGGCATTCAGACTTCCGCCTACTTTGTAGCTTTACTTTCAAGGTTCAGACTTCTTTCATTGTACAGTTATTTCACTAACATTGCCGTGCATTGTTGTATTGTTCGCATTCAGCGAACCATTTACTCTTGGGGTACGTCCCTTTTCATTTTCACAGCACACGAGCCCTTTTACATACGCTACCGGTCCTTCAGTGTTCAATGTTCATGTAAGACACCATTGTAAGACGCTGTGATATTTGGATCGCTGTTTTGTATTTATTTGTATTGTATTAACGATCATGAGCGACCTACACACGGCGTGGCGCTTACCGTTGTCTCTCTTTGCACCGGCCACATGTCCCGGTCTAGAGCTGTACCGCCCTCGACTGGGCCGTGTGCCGCTCGCCATTCCTGTTTGTTGTTTATAGCCCGGCTGCAGGTATCGCAGCGACCGGCCTTGATCCAGGCATGAATGCTGCATGACGTCCCAGTCGGGCGGACGCTGGGAAAGGGAGAGAGCGAGAAAGGGAGAGAGGAAGAGGAGCGGAGGCTAGCTGCGTCAAACGTCGGGCTATTGAGAGTGGAGAGATCAGAGAACGGAACGTGGTGGAAGGAAAGGAACTGAGATAGGCCATACATTCAGAAAGAGTGAATAAATGATGGTTAGGGTACATTTCTGCTGGCGTAAAACATGACTGGGTAGGGAAAACAAAGTGAATTATTAGCTGTGTGTAAAAGTATCGATGAGAGGGAGAATTGCAAATTATTTGGTGAGTTGCTGTGCCTTCTTGAATAGTCTCATCGCCAGCTTATCTCATGAAGCTGTCTGTTGACCGCACAGCCCAGGATGCAGCATCGGAGTTTGTTTAGCCAGAGGTTTGTATATCCCCGTGCAGCTCCGGCTTCCATGAAAATGTCCGTGTATCTCATTCTCCACTTCCATCATCCAGCCACCCGTAGCCTGGCGACTCCCGCGACCCCAGCTGTATCCGAACAGTTGTGAGCTCAGCGGGGCCATAACACAGGACAAATGGCCCTGTTGACATCCCCCTCCGACGCCAGGAGAGGGGACAGCCCGGTCGGCCGGAGCCGACCCTACATCGGTCCCGGCCGACGCCAGAGCTACGGGGGATGACAGTGGGTCTTTGTCTCTCGTCGGCTCCCGTGGGTGCTCTCCAGAGGTTCTCATGACCTTGTGCGGCTGAACGGTGGACTGGAGAGCGCGCGATGGCGGACTGGACCGACTCAGAGTGAATGTCGGAGACGACTGAAAGTCAGTCCTGGCAGGCTGGCGCTTCTAGCGTCGGTGGGTGGAATATTAAGAGTTCGGCTGGCTCCTGGTATGCTATTTGGGAACGTCCGCGGGCATTCGCCGTAATCTCCACGCTATATATGGAAGGCTTTTGATGTCAATACATTCATACATACATACGTACATTACATACATTTGCAGTCAAGTAATGGGAGTATTCAGCTGTCGCACTGTTAGCAGCAGTGCTTAGGCAGCGCTGGTTGGTGTCGTTCGGTTCTGTGAAATCCTTTATGGGTAAACATAATCGACCCAAGGGAATCGGCAATGCGAGGCGGCCCCTGTTCATTTTGACATTCCGCGCGGCCTGAGGCTCTGGTATGTTCGGGACAACCAACAAATATCCCCGTTCTCCAAGAAATTGATAGCTCAGGCTGGCCTCGTTACACATTTCCCGTATATCCCCCGGCCAGATGTATCCTCAGCAGTTTTGGAGCGGGCCAGAGTAGCTGTCTCTGAACGCGTCGGTGGACGGAACATGTCTGATCACGCTCTGGTGTCGGCGGCGTCTGGCCGGGGTCGGCGGTGTCGGGTTTGTCTCGCCGGGGTCGGCTCTCGCCGCGCTCCTCGCCTTTCCAGTCTGCCCTAGCGCGGCGTGGTGCGGCGTAGTGCAGCCGGTCCGGCCCGGCCCGTCAGCACCCAGCCGCCTGCAGTCTGCCTCTGCACTCTGCAGTGTGCACTGTGCACGGCCCGGGTGTCGTCAGCAGATCCCACCACCCGACCCGCCGGCAGGGGCTGGTATATGAGCTCCAGTGGGATAGAAGGGACAGGCGCTGCCACTGACAGCTGTGGCAGTGTTGGCGGTAACCAGACCGGCGGGGCTGCTGCTGCGACTTGGTGGCCAGTAGCCGCTGCTGGACCCTGCCGAACAAACTTATCGGGCCATACTGAGCAATGAGCAAGCAACCTTATTTGGCCATACTGAGCATTGCAAGCAACCTTATCTGGCCAATGGCCATACTGAGCGAACAGCCTCTAAGCGCACGAACAGTAGCGTGAGGTGAATCTAGAAGGAATATGGAATCTCAATTTATCTCAAGTAATGAGTAAAACGTATTTTACAATAATATTGTTCATTGTCTACTCAAGTACTAACTACCTGAACCGCTCAAATGCAGCGCCTTAGCTGCCCCTGTGTAAACCTGGGTCTCTCTCTCTCTCTCTCTCTCTCTCTCTCTCTCTCTCTCTCTCTCTCTCTCTCTCTCTCTCTCTCTCTCTCTCTCTCTCTCTCTCTCTCTCTTTCTCTCTCTCTCTCTCTCTCTCTCTCTCTCTCTCTCTGCCTCCTCTCCTCTCCTCTCTTCTCTTCTGTTCTCTTCTCCTCTCTCTCTCTCTCTGCCTCCTCTCCTCTCCTCTCCTCTCCTCTCCTCTCCTCTCTTCTCTTCTCTTCTCTTCTCTTCTCTTCTCTTCTCTTCTCTTCTCTTCTCTTCTCTTCTCTTCTCTTCTCTTCTCTTCTTTTCTCTTCTCTTCTCTTCTCTTCTCTTCTCCTCTCCTCTCCTCTCCTCTCCTCTCCTCTCCTCTCCTCTCCTCTCCTCTCCTCTCCTCTCCTCTCCTCTCCTCTCCTCTCCTCTCTCTCTCTCTCTCTCTCTCTCTCTCTCTCTCTCTCTCTCTCTCTCTCTCTCTCTCTCTCTCTCTCTCTCTCTCTCTCTCTCTCTCTCTCTCTCTCTCTCTCTCTCTCTCTCTCTCGCTGAAGGGTGCAGAATGCAACGGCCATGTGTGGCCAGTAGCACCCCAGCAGGATGTCGAGACGGCCTATCGCGAATGGGATCCCCGGAAGCGGAGCTCTTGCTTCTCAGCGGGAGCGAATGTCCTGTCGGATGATCACAGGACTGGCAACTGGATCCGTCCTAGCATTGTGCTGACCCTGCATTAGTTAATGCCTGACGCAAACACATGTTGAGTTGTTTGCAACGGTTACATTTATAACCTTAAAAATAATCTTGTGTCATGCATTTCGTGATAATGATTGGAAACATTTTCGTGCCGACATATGAGGTGTGCCATACGTTATCTCTTGGGATATAAACACTGGACTAGCTATGCATATGTAGTATGTAGGCATATAGGGTGAAGTCGTATAAGAGTACGCACTTAGTGGATTTCTTGCTCTCATTTGTTTAATATTTGAAAGAAAGAAATCGCAAATAGGAAATATTAAACTTCATTGAATTAGCCATCAACCCATGGGGCAACGATCCTTCAGCGTAAATGGAAGTGGTCTAAAACTGACATTTTCTGAACCGCTGCAGTTGCGTACTCTTACCACATGGGGTGTGTAAGAGTACGCACGCCAGGCAGGTGGAGTACGCAAGCATATGAGCACACACCTATGCAGCTTGTACTGTCCAAATGCTTAACTTCAAACTCAGAAGGCATTTAATTTAATTCTAGTATCCAAAAAGAAAAGCATAAAATAAATCTTTTAAGTCTATAAATCAGGAAATAATCATGCCGTGTGTTTCTTAAAAAATGCACAATCAAAAGGGAGAATAACTCGTATTTGGAAGAATTTCGGGTACGCATCTGCATCACAG